CCTCGCCATGGCGCTTACCAAGAGAGCGGGTGAATAAGCTGCCTGAGTCCCACCATGGCCAGATCTCTGGAGTTCTGGGTCTCCTCCTGGCCCTCGCCGCAGGCACTTACCAAGAGGGCAGGTGAATAAGCTACCTCGCAGATTGTCTTTGAATGCAGTAAATTTGTCTGTCAACTTGGACATAGTTGTCATTCTTCCCTGAAGTTACAAATGAAATTAATTGATCAAGTGGAGTCACACAGGTAAATAAGTTTTATGGCTCACTCTGTGTCAGTGAAATATGCTGCCAGTGGTACAATATGGAAAAAGTTGGATGTAAATGGTTAAATAATGGGTGGGCTACTCACAGACTAAAATAAGTGACAGAGTCCAACTTATAGCCTGTCACCAGTTGCAGCTGTACAATTGAACTCCATTAACAAACTTGCCACTGTAAAACCTTACACCAGATGTAGCTTATCACTTGCTACTCACTGACAAGGTTTTAATATAATTTAGCAAGCAACTGCTTTGTTTCGGTCTCTGTACAATCAGACCTCTATAATGTTAATCTATATTTTCAGTCTCTCCCCAGTGCTAGCGTCACTGCCTCAGCCCCAGCTGAGAGTATCAGAGAGTGAATTCTGATACAGCCTAGATCCCTTGTGTGTACTGCTCACACTAGAGTTCACACTGTGAGAATCTAGTGGTGCTGCTGATCTGACAGGAGGTCGGGTAGGGGGAGCAGCTGTAAATACAGATGAAGCTCAGTCACTTGCCCACCATGTGCTTCCTGCTGTTCTGGGCGTAGACAGAAACCAATCCATGGCTAGCTCAGGGGTTGGAACGCCTATGTTATAATCAGTTACCTTTTATTATAATCAGTTACCTTTGATCTTGGTTGATGGAGTTTCAGCATTTCGGTAACTCTCATGAAATAATAGTGAAAATAATACTAAACTTGTTAGTATTTAATATGTGTTAAAGTGTTTATCTGGCATACAAGTGCCTTGATGGAAAAAGTATGTAATGAAGTATTTCAAAATAAAATAATGAAACAATCTCTTCATTTTTAGATGGCTTTCCTTAATAGTTTTAGGTTTTTATTGTATATGCAGCTTTAATTTGAAATTTATGTTCTACAATCTGTTTAACACAATTGAAAAAAGTTTTGAAACTGATTCTTCAGTAAGATAAGTATAGGGAAATAGTTTACAGGCATACTTTAATGTCTATTAAGTCATTCTTTGCTAACAGTATGAAATCAATATATGTTTAATTTTTAATTCTTTTTATGTTAAATAAAGACACTTGGCATGTATTGAATATGTGATACTTCAGACACTTCTGGTTTAAGCATTATCATTCAGTCAGCACAACTTTAGGAATAGACTTTTATAGTCCATGATACTTATTAAATTATTTTACGATTTCATATACATTGCTCAATCTTTTTAACACCTGTCTCTGAATTCATGTTGCTTTTTATTATTACATCTTGCAACTTTCAACTTAAGAATGATATATATACCTTTAAGCAATGTCCTATTTCTGGGTAACATTAGTGATGTGTAACAGTCCCCATCAATATTAAAATTTTTATATATTGTTGTAGTCAGGAGTTGGCAAGGAAAACAATTACATACAGGACATAGACTTTATAATACTATTTTATGATGGCCACCCAGAGTTAAATTCAAGAAAGTTCAGGAAATCTTCTCAATGCTAAAGACCTAGAAAATCCAGCCTAGAGCCTGGATCCCACAGCAATGTCCTGCATGAGTCCAGCTGAAAACCTGGAGCCCACCATAGCGCCTCCCTCGAGGCCAACTGGAGATCCAGAGTCCCCAAAAATGACTCATGCAAGTCTGTTCTGTGGATCTGTATTGAGAAGTCCCAAAGATCAGTGGTGGAAGCTAAAAAGTCTATTCCCATGGGGTGAAGGGTCCATGCTAGTAGGCTGAGGGTTCTACACTGGAGCCAAGAAATGACACTCAAAATAAGGACCAGGGCTCCCGTGAAAAGTACCACAGCCATCCTCAGCAACAGTGAGGTCCCGAGCTCCTCCAACAATGAGAACAGTCAAGTACGTGTTGGGAAATCAGCGTGACAAGCTTCTGGAGGTTAAACAGCACACATCTTCCCCTCCAGAGCCAGAAAGCAATGCTCAATGTAAGGTACAGAGTCCCCCAAAGTGAACGCAGTCATTCTCAGCGACAAGGTCCCAAGTTCCTCCGACGATAATGACTGAATTCAAATCGGGGAAGCCAGCACGACAAGCTCCTCAAGGAGAAACAACAGTAGCTCCAGACAGCAACACTTAGGAGAACCCACAGTGCCCCACTCTTCCTCTCCACATCTCTTTCTATACTGGCAACTTTCCTCAGGTGGGCTATTTATACTCAGCACATGCTGGCTGAGTTCAGCTGGTGTTAGGCTGACTGCCAGTTTTTAATCCATAATATATATTAACATTGAGAGTTAAATGTTCAGTATAAGCATGTAGAACACCTAGCAAATACACATACCTTGAAAGGGAATCATAGTATGGAGAGATTGAATTTCAGAATGAGAGTACAAAGACCTCATGAATCTCACTCATCCCCATCCCTTCAAAAAAAAAAGAGAGGGAAAAAAAAAAAGCTCTCATCTGTCATTTCACTACTCTGGAAATTAACCAGAGCCACAGAAGGTAGAGTGTTTTGTTATCTACCCAAGATTATATTTGTCATATAATCTACACTACTGACTTTGTAAGACAGCAGAGCCAAATGCAGCTCATCCCTTGCCACTCTCTGGAAATTTGAGGCTATTCCCATCCTGCTTCCCTTCTTCATTAGACTAGTAACGTTGCCATGGAAAGCTAGCAACTTAATAGACAATAGCCAGGACTGAACTCCTTGGAGCTCCAGTGCAGTCTCCATCCCTGTAGCTTTGTCAGTATTTTGTATGACTAGTATCTCCTGGGAAAAGTCTCCAGTCTCCGGCCTCCGGTCTCCGGTCTCAGGTCTCAGGATATTAACAATTTGATTTGACTCAGAGTCCAGCTTCAGGAGGGAGCCGGGGGGACCATCCCTTGGCATTACCAAAAACAGCAGCAGTCTGCTGAAAGGAATCAAGAGCTATTGATTCCTATTGTTCAGCTATTAAAAGGAAATCCTAGAAAATTGATAACTATAGGCAACTTTAAAAAGCATATTCCTAGAGATCTGGAAAGCTGAAAAAGACCTAGAAAAGAAAAATATAACGTGAAAATAACTCAGCTGTCTTCCTGCCTGAGGTTGAGGTCCTGCTTAAGCAGGAAATGAGAGCTAAAGCTATTCTATAAACTGTCTGAACTTTCAAAGTGTATTTTCACACACCAGTCCCCTGACAAAGAGTAGAAGACACAGAGACAAGATACTTAAGGAACTCATAACACCTATTGGCCACTAAATTATATGGTGTCCCTCCAGGAAGCTAAACTTGGGGGAGGGGGGATCTTTTAAGATGTAAATAAAAAAGAATATAGAGGCAGCCACTCAGGGAATATAGAATCTAGGCAGTTAATCTACAGAGTCACTAACAACAACAACAAAACAAAAAGAGTGGTGCAGGGAGGGAGGGTGCAATGTTTGTCATATAATCTAAAAAGTCCATTTACAGGACTCGGAGAGGGCTGGGGATTTAGCTCAGCAGCATAAGCGCCTGCCTGGCAAGTGCAAGGTTGTGAGTTTGATCCTCTGTACTGGAAAAAATTTAAAAAAAAAAAAAAAAAAAAAAAAAAAAAAAAAAAAAGACTTGGAGAAAAACAGGAAAACAAGCCACACAACATTACCAAAAGAGAGAGAGAGAGAGAGAGAAAAGCAACAAAAAAATGTGCCTGAACGAACAAGGTGTCAAACTTTCTGGAGACTATGACTCTCTGTATTCTATATTCAAGACCCAAAGGAAACCAAGGAAATGCATGAATGTATGAGAACTGTGTCTCATTAAAAAGAGAATACCAGCATGTAGAAGTAATTTTTCTGAAAGCAAGTAAAGGGCTGGAGGAATAGTTCAGTGATACAGCAGTTTTCTAGCATGCATAAGGCCCTTGGGTTCAGTGCTCAGCACCAGCTCCCCACCAAAAAAAAAACCCTGGATTTGGTGGAAAGTAAAGTCATTGAAATTTTAAAGTTCAGTGTAATGCTTAGCAAACACACCTGCAAACTTGAATGTACACTGAGTGGAAACTGCATTCTGAGTCATAGGAAAACATGAAAGTTAGTCTCGAAGACTGCGGAGGCACCATCAAGCATTCCTACGTCTTCCTAAGAGGAGTCATACGATGAAAAAGGAAAAAGAGAAAGAAGGAATAGCTGGGAAAATAAATCGTTACCGTCATGGCTCTTCACACAGCCCACCCTGCGTCTGCTTTTATTTTTGCTCTTTTTCTCTTTTCCTCTTTTGTTTGGGCCAAGTTTGCTTTGCAGAGCCAGTTTCTCCCTTACCCATTCACCCTTCACTTTTCAAATAAACTTTTGGCACTGTTAAAAAAAACAAAGTTGGAACAGCCCAAAACTTTATGACAGATATTTTAATGTACACATTCGAACAGAAAGTCCCAAGTAGGATACTTGGAGAACCACACTCGAACACATCCATAGTTAAACTGCCAGATGATAACCAGAATCATGAAAGCACAGGCAAAGAGAAGCAACCACTGTGTATGTGGAGCCCTTAAGATGATCAGCTGATGGCGCCTCAGAAACCGGAGGCTGGAGGCAGAGGGTGCTACTCTCAGAGTTCTGCCAGGAAAAGTGTCCACCAGGAGGTCTGTATCCCACAGAGCTATCGTCTTTCGAAAATGAACTGTCATAGACATTTGAGATAAACAGAAACATGATTCTTTACCAGCAGATCTCTGAAAACTGTGGGGTGGCTTCAGGTTCATTCCACATTTTTAAACTTGAAGAACATTTCTGTTACCTGAATTTTTAACACTTTTTGATAGGACAATGTTTTCAAAAATGTTTTTCGTTTTGCTTTGTTTATTCTAGCTGGACAACTGAGCCAGTCAGCACACTTAGCCCTCCAGCTGCCGTATAACGTACTTGGTTTAGGTCGAAGTGCAAATTTTCTTGACCATCTTTACGTTGGTATCCCGCGTCCACCTGGAGAGAAAGTAAGTAAAAACTTAGTCTATAGTTAGTCTGTTTTAATAATCACTGTTTAATTCAATAATGACTCCAATTCTATTTGAATTCAAGTAATTTAAATATTTGTTCTTCCCTTTAAGGAATAAAATTTGATTGATTGTGATCCAAGCTTATGCAGAGCATATCATAATTTGAAAACATTGCATGCTTTTTCCATTTCTTCTCCCATAAACCTGAAGATTTAACCTTGTTTCTTGCTTTTTCTTAATATTTTTATCACCTAATACATGTATTTTGCTAACATGTGTATATTATACCTAAGAAGTATAATAATACACTCAGTTTGTCTGTCCATCTCCCCTCAGCTTGAACCTTAACTCCTGGCATCTGCATATAGCACTTTGAACAGCACCTGCTGTATAAGTGCATAGTAAATATAGAGTCTTTTCCTGAAAAGATTCGAAATTTTTTCAACAGATGTTACAGAACATCTGTTTTGGACTATATATGTTAATCTAACTTAATCCATACCTAAGATTTCAACAGTTCAAAATAATTGAGATTGTTGCCTTATTTATTTAAAATAATTGTTTGCTTCTTAAATGTAATAGATGTTAAATATTCTTAATTCTTTTTTCAGTCTATAAGAAAACAAGAATGGACTGCAATCATTCCAAATTCCCAACTCATTGTCATTCCATACCCTCACAGTGTCCCTCGAAGGTAATCTCTTTTTTTGTTTAAACTAAATTTGGTAAAAGTACTATCAACTCTGAATCATAGAGAGTTACATTTTTTAAAACTCATTCCTAATATGTTCCCTTAAGTGCCATAATTTATTTGCCTACAGCAAATTTTAAATTGATAAACATACTTACACAAAAGGTCTCTGGCATTTTTAATAAAGAAAAAATTCGACCCTATTAGAAAAACAGCCAGTTAATTAATTAGAGACTTACACATGTTCTGCTTAAATGAATTGCTCTTCAGCTTACTAGTTATAAATTCTAAAATTTCAGGAGTGTGTGTGTGTGTGTGTGTGTGTGCTATCTGCAATTTAACCCAGAGCCATGAATATGCTGGGCAAGAATTCTACCACTGAGCTATAACTCCAGCCCTAGATTGCTGTATTTTTTAATAATCACTGATCTTTTAAGTAAGTTATTTGAGAAATGGTGTATTTAGAATCAAACAGACCCCGAGCTAGAAAAACTCAGCTCTACTGCTGACTTCTGTCTTTTCTTCTCCTGGTGGCTTGAGGTCTACATCTTAGGATGGGAGACAGAATGCCTCATAAGAGTAGGCATGAAGACATTTGACAGAGTGCCACACATACACTGTGAACGTATTCTTATTATCAGTGTGTGTGCCTTTCATGGTTACAGCATTTAACCCCTAATTTACCTTTCCACAGTTTTTATTACCTGATTGACTAGACTTTTTAAAGCAGGCAATGAAAGTATTCAGTAACATTTAAATTTGTTGGCCGGGGATTTAGCTCTGCGGCATAAGCACCTGCCTGGCAAGTGCAAGGTCCTGAGTTTGATCCCTGGTACAAAAAAAAAAAAAATTAAATTTGGTTAGAACAAATATTCTAGTCTGATATCTACAGGAGAAAATAAAAAGAAATGTGATTTGTCTAGGAATATGTAAGCAGGAGGTCTTGCTTCTTACATTTCTTCTCAAAATATAGCTTTTGTTGTTCTTTCCCTGCCTCCGCTGGGGATGCAGCCCAGGGCTCTTGCAGCCCAAGCATGCACTGCACCCCTCTTGATCCTGCTCTTCATCACATTCTTAGGTGGACGTGCTTGGTGTGTATTGGAACAACTCCTGCGCTCAGGCAGGGTCTCCCGTCTCTGGTCTAAGAGCTGCATTAAGCTCAGTTGCCATGGAAAAACTTGCTTCATGAACTTGGAGCCTGTCACAAATCGGGTCTTGGGGTCCTACTCGTGGACCATTGGCCAGCACACCACTTGATATATTTCACTATAGGTTTACAGGCTTTACTACCAAATTTGCTTAAGGAAAAGAAAAACCTTATTACACTGTTATACTTAAAATAAGATGGCATCAACAGAAACAGTATAGTTGTGATTCTTTTGGGTTGTGTCATTTTGTTTGGAGGTGGGGTCTCACCGTGGAGCTGACTGGTGAGACCTCTCAGAACTTGGGATTATAGCCTCACACTGTCGCGCCTGGCTCTGATTCAGACTTTTCTGAATGAGCCTATATGACACATTTGTGTTAGTTTTCTGTAGGTGAAATTGGTAACAAAAATAAATCTGACGAGGGTGGGAAACTTTCAAAGCATGGGACCATTATGTTGTGCAGTGTGACAACTCATGCTTAGCACTGTACACACAGAAGACTCTTAAGGAGCAGGAGGCCAAAAATAAAAAAACAGAGTACAGAAAGAATACACAAGACATGAGCATTGAGATTTTGGAAGCTGACATCTCTGTGTGTGGATCATCTATGGTCTTTCCAAAAGGGTCTGCAAGAGACGGCTCTGAACGACTGCCCCAAGCAGAAAACTGAGTACTGGCTTCTTGTCTGCCTTTTTTTTTTTTTAACCAAAATGCATATTTTTTAAATTCTTTTTCAAAAATCTATTTAAAAAGTAGAAATAGCTCCTCCCCCCCAAAAAAGAAAAACTCATGAATCAGGTGTTCTTTAAGGATAGCTAAAGTAGCTAAACACAACTAATTATAATTGTTTTCTTAAAGTTTATTTAGTCTTCTGAATTTCCAGAAAATCCTGCCATAGCTTTCTTCCAGTCTCATTATTTTCATGTTTCTCTTGCTTTTTTCTGAACAAATGTTGTTTTCAAATTTATGTACGTAATAAAAACCAAATTGATTTTAGTTTGAGTTGTATTTTGAGATTTATTGATTAGAGACTAACTTGAAGGTCAATAAGTTTTAATTATCTCAAAACAAATCAATAGTGATTTGCTTTTCATCAGAATGGTTTTACCTTTATTAAACAATGAAATGGAAATACATCTTTTTCTATTTCCAGAGAACAGAAATTTCCACATGTGTGACTACCTGCAGTGTTGGTGATAAAGACCTGCTTTCAGGCCTGCCGGGGCTGCAAGTGCTCTGTTACACCTGCTATTTTAAGAGGGAGGCCTAGTTCTAATGACCTTCCACTCGTGTTCTGCCATTAACAGTGAGGACCTAAGGGTCATTTTTAAGAGGTCTCAGTGTAAACGTCATTATAGTAATGTTAAACCCTCAGTATGAGCCAGAAATGGCGGGTTTTTCTCCACCCAGATACATGGTTGTTTTACTTGGTCATATATGTGTGTGGGCAAAGGTCAGAAAAAAATGACATAGCAGGATTATTGAAATTTATAACTACATAGCCTTGGAGTTTAAGATTTCAAGTTCAGCAAGTTGATCAAAATATTAAGCTGTCTTTGTCCAGAGTAGCCTTGATGAGTTTATATAATAATAATTTCAAAAGATCAAACTTGGAAAAAGAAAAACATCAAAATGCCTGAACATGAAGCATGGTGGCACACACCTATAATCCCAGCACACAGGAGACTGAGGCAGGAGGATCTACAAGTTCTAGGCCAGCCTGGGCTACATAGCAAGACCTTGTCTCCAAAGCAAACTAAAGGGTCTCATCAAGAACTCTCAGGGCCAGAGATTTAGCTCAGTGGCACAAGTGCCTGTCTTACAAGCATGTGGTTGTGAGTTCGATCCCCAGTACCAAAAAAAAAGAAGAAGAAAAATTCTCCCTCAGGGGCCTGGGGAGTGTGGCCCAGTGATAAAGTGCTCACCTATCCTGTGGAAGGCCCTGGGCCCTGGCCCAGCTCCACCAAGAAAAGTACGTTGAGCACTGAGAAACATATGGACTCTGAAGGTCACTGGGAGTCTTAACACTACTGAAATTGTTATTATTTTGTTCATGAGTGGAGAGGCGACTAATGATTTACTAAATGCAATATTTTGTGAAGCTAATCCCTTTTTGGTATCAGTTTAAGCTGCTCTTTAAATTAAAATTTATAATTTTAATTTTTGTTTTTATCTGCAGCTGGAGTGCCAAACTCTATCTCACACCAAGTAACATTGTTCTGCTCACTGCTATCGCACTCATTGGCGTCTGCGTATTCATCTTGGCCATCATTGGCATTCTGCATTGGCAGGAAAAGGTTTGTTGAATGCAGCAATAGCTTTGGTTAATTTATTATAGCACATCCCTCTTTAAAACAACACTGAAAGGCCAGTACTGTAACTTGAGGACCTAGCACTGGCCTAGAACAGGTACGGCCACAGGTTTGATTCTCAGTACCACCACAAAAGAGTATTAAATATCTAAGTGTAAGGTTCCCACAGTGCCCCTCCATAGAAAAGGCTTCTTTCTGCCTAGGAAGGAGATGAGGTTTTGATGGGAGGGGGTACTAAAGTTAACATCAGTTTCATCTTGGCTACTTTTTTAGCTTAGGAAAAGGTACATATTGGGCTGGGAATATAGCTCAGCAGTGCAGTGCCTGCCTGGCAAGTATAAGGTCCAGAGTTCAGTTCCTGGTACCAGGAAAAAAAAAAAGATGTACATGTTAATTGTTCAATAAATATTCATAGATTTGATGCTCAAAAGTAAAATCACACTTTTACATTATAAAACAGTAACAAAGTTACATATTCTGTTAATTTTAAAATTGCAGGTTTAGCCAAGCATGGTGACACATGCCTGTAATCCTAGCGCTTGGGAGGCTGAGGCAGGACGTTTACTGAAAGTTCAAGGCCAGCCTGGGCTACAAGTAAGTTCACCCAGGATGGCCTCGATCCTCCTGCCTCAGCCTCCCAAGTGCTGGGATTACAGGTATGTGCCACCACACCCGACTTTTCCTTCCTTCCTTTTTTTCTCTCTTTATTTCTGGAGACTGAAACTTGCTGAGTTGGTTAGGCTGGCCTTAAACTTTCCGTCTTCCTTCCCTAGCCCTGGATCTCTCTGAAGTGGCCTTCCTCATTGCCTGGTGTCACTGTTCTGTTTCTACCTAGATTACATACAGGCACCCCACAGTCCCTGTTCTGAGCTCTGCCTGTCCCCTGATCTGTTCATTCTTGCCTCAGTAAAGTTCTTTTCAGCCAACTCATTTTCATATTCCTGCTGCCACTGTTGCTCAGCCCCTTCCTGTCCCCTTTCGTAGACCTGTCCCACTGCTTTCAGATTACTCACTATTGAACTCAGCCTCTACTGTGCCACACTCCAGCTCCAAACCCCTACTGCCTAAAATACAGAAATCCCATAGCCAGACCTGCACGTTGCTATCACACAACTCCAGAATTTGATTACAAGCATGTGCCACCATGCCTGGCTCAACCTGCAGTTTTAAAATTAACAAAATGTGTGACTTTGTTACTGTTTTGTACTGTTTGAGCATCAACTCTATGAGTGATGCACTCCCAGGTTGGAGTGAACACCCTTTCTTCACGTTTCCCTAAGTACCACTTTTTCAACCTGTCCCATTCCTCTCTCTCAGAAGGAACATTTCTCACTTTGTATCCTGAAGGACAATGTGTTTCACTTTTTTTCTTCTTAGGTTTTAAGTTCCTGAAAAATAAACTATAAAATTCTTCTCTTTTTTTTCTATTTTTTTCTATTTTTTATCGGTACCAGGGATCGAACTCACAACTGCGTGCTTGCAAGGCAGGCGCTTACGCCGCTGAGCTAAATCCCCAGCCCCAAATAAGCTATAAAATTGAGGAATATTTTAATCCTTCAGAATAGCATTTACGGCCAGGGATTTAGCTCAGCAGCAAAAGTGGCTGCCTGGCAAGCATGAGGTCATGAGTTTGATACCAAAAAAATAAAAAGTTTTGCACCAAAATACCATATACAATACCTTGCTGAGAGCAGAGGTCAGTAAACATCTATTAAATTAATAGGCTGACAAAAATTAATATTCTTTAGGTTTCTTACATTGGTATTAAGTGTGGATGATGAGGCATATGACAAGTTAAGTAAAGAACCTCTGTCCTTGATGTTTAAAATCAGCTAGTAGGCCATTAATTATAAAGTAGCTTCTGTAAACTATAAACTGGATTATTGCATTCTAAACTCAGACCTACTGTCTGCTGATTCCTTAGGGCTTTTTAAAATTGATCATTTGTATTTCCACAGTGAGTCTTCTTAGCATTTTCTTATTGCTCCTAAGCTGTTCTAAACTTCTTTTCAGAAAGCAGATGATAGAGAAAAACGACAAGAAGCCCATCGGTTTCACTTTGATGCTATGTGACTTGGCTTTAATGTACCTGTTGGAACGAACATTCATGTGATTATTGGAAATAACCAAGTTCTGATTGATCAAAGAAAATAAGAGATTTTGGATATTATTTATAAATGATACGTCACTTGAAAATTATTGGGAAAGAATCAAATATGGTCTGACAGACTCAAGGTCCTTTTCTAAGCAGTTTGTAAATGATGATTTGGGTTCATTATCAGTCATCCTGTGCATTTTGTTCCTTTGTGGATATGCTGCATGCACTCTGGTGTCTGTGTATTTATAACCTTAATAGAGTAATGATGATGGAAAAGATGTGTAAATAAAACTATTTAAATGAGCAGGATTCTTTTGTTCCATTTGAATGGGTCTTGATTCTTATTCTCACTGTATAAATTATGTGTTAGCAGATGCATCACAGACACGGTCATCAAACCTGCACCTTCGTCACAGCAGTTCAGGGCCTTCTGGGGCACAGGGTGCAGAGATTGCACACTCTTGCTTGGTGTCCCAGCAAGATGAGCTGGTGGAGAGTTCCCCCGTGCACAGCGCACAGAGCCCCTGTTTCCATTCGGCTCTTGCTTATCCCCCGTGTGCTTCAGCGTCAGTGGTACAGTGGGGCTGAGGTATACCGGACTCAGGCAAGGGCTGTGAACATGACATAGGGTGACTGAAGTACTTTGCTTGGCGCCTAGCACAGAGTAAGCGCTGCGTAAGTGTCATTATTATTTTCAGGTGATTATCAGACTCTGCAACTAATTACCAAATTATATAGAATTGGTAGAATTGTACTTTCAGGCATGAGAAAATAATATTATTTGAAAAACTGAAATTCTTGGTGGTTCCTAACTTGTGTGCACATTACTTGTTCACGTTAATTAAAAATTGTAATACTGTCCAAGGATAAATGTGCTCTAAAACCTTTCGTGTAAAAACTAATCATTGGGACTGAGGGGTTTAGCTCAGTGGTACAAGCGCCTGCCTAGCAAGCTCAAGATCCTGAGTTCGATCCCCGGTACCAAAAAAACTAATCCCTATCATGTGATGGTGAAGGGCATTTGGTTTCTTGAAAAGAAGCTGCTGTAGGCAGCATCTGGAAAAAATCTGCAATCCTATTTTTGTTCTTAAAGGCTTAGAAAAGTCTACAATTCACATTCAAACTTCAATGCAAATTTTGTATTATCAACTTCACATTGCCAAAATTTACTTCAAAGAAACTTAAGTGTAAGATTCAGAAACAACTATATATCAGGTTAAATAATTTTCTAATATGCAAATAAATGTGGTAGCTCTAAAATATAAAAATTTCTCAGAAAACAATTTTTCTCTTCATTTTTTTTCTTTACAGTTCACTGACAGTGGCATGTACTTAATTATTTGCTTTGTATCTCAGCATGTTAATGTGTCTTCCTAATAAATATTCCTTGCTGAAAGTAAGTGTTGTCAGTTTTTAAATAATTATTTTGGAGCTGAAGAGGCACTAGAGATTATGGGTTATCAATCACTTACCTGGACCCAGACACTGAGGGAAGCGGAGTTCTCCATTACCTTCCTGAGTGAGGGCAGTGCAGCATTCTCCTGACAGGACTCAGATCCACTGAGCAGCACCCGCCCACAGCCTCTGCCAGCACCGCCACTCCAGGCCCTCAAGACACAGGTTTAGTGTCTATCAAGTGAATAGCGTGACACCCAAATAAAATGGTAATGACAGTTAAAGTACAGTCAGTGATATTAATATTTCTTAACAAATACAAGATCCATATTGTTAAGGGGCAGCAGGTTAAAAAAAAAAATGTGGCACAACACTGGGAATCCATAGCAGAACTTTACATTCTTTTGAATATTGCCATGGAAGAACGCAAGACTTTGAGGTAGATACAACTGGATTCAGACGGGCCCGGGATGTAGCTTAGGGGCACCAGCACCTGTCTGGCACCCACAAAGTCATGAGTTTGATCCCTGGTACGAAAAAAGAACCCTGGCTTCAGAGCCCAGCTGACCTATTCTGTGGCCTTTTTCTGAACTTCTATTTGTATTATTTTTTATTAGTCCACGTTTGCAGTTTGTAATGATTGCATCCCTTGCGGGAAGTTGGGGTGGGACATAACACATCTTAGCTCCTGTTCTCCCCCCACCAGCCCTGTGCCTCCCTGCTCATTGCAGCTCGTAGTCCCCTCCCTTGCACAGAAGCTATATATCTCATTTCTCTTGTTCAACTTTTTAATTTCATCCTCTTTCCCTCCCTCCATCTCTTTTTCTCCTTCCTATTTAAGGAAGTGCACCCCACTTCCTCTTCTTTTATCTTGAGTTTCTCTATGAGAGAAACCATGTAATATGTAAACTTCTGTGTCTGATTTATCTCACTTGCTGTGGTGTTATGGTCTCAAGTGCACATTTACCTGTGAGTAAGGTTTATGCTTTATGGCACAGTAGTACTGCTGCTTTGTATGTAAGCACCTGTTCTCTCTTTCCACACGTCTGTTCATGAACATACAGGCCACTTCCAAGATTTAGCTATTTTGCATTGTGCTGCTATAAACACGTGGGTATGCGTATATATACTATAATACGGTGTCTTTCACTCGGGAAGATATATAGTAGACAGCTAGGTCAAATGGAATTTCTATTTTTAGTTTTTTCAAGAATTTCAATACTGATTCCTATAGTGGTTACTAGTTTATGTTCCTAACAACAATGTAGAAAGATTCCTTTTACCCCTCGGCCTCAACAACATTTGATTTTTTTTCTAAAAATTTCTCAATGATAGCTGTTCTTTATGGAATAAGATGGTATCTCAGTATTGTTTTAGTTTTTTGGTTGGTTTTTTTTTTTTTTTTTTTTTTTTGGTCTGTGTTTTTGAGACAAGGTCTTACTATGCAGTTTAGGCTGGCCTTGGACTCACTTTGTAGCCCAGGCTGGTCTTGAACTTGCAATGGTCCTGCCTCCAGAGTGCTGGGATTACAGTTTAATTTGCATTTCTACAATGGTCAGTGATGTGGAACATTTTTGCATGTCTTTATATGTACTTCTGAGATGTATCTCTTCATTTCTGTTACCCATTTTTATCAGGTCTTTCATTTATGGGGAGGTCTGTTTTTTCTTCTTTTTAGTTTTTCATATATTACAAATGTTAATTCCCCAGCCAAGAACTAGCTGGAAAATTTTTTTTCATCCTGTAGGCTGTCTTTACTCTGTTGGTTGCTTGTTTTGTTTTGTTTGTTTAGATGTACAACTTTTTAATTTGATAAGATTCTATTGTTGATTCTTGGCACTATTTCTTGGACCATCCAGATTGTGTCCAGAAAGTCTTTGCTTATTCCTGTGTCTCTTAAGAATTTTCCCTATTTTATCTTCCAGAAGATTTTGTGTTTTAAAGTTTGTATCTTTAATCCATTTTGATTTTAGTCTAGTACATGGCAAGCCTTGTGAGTCTAGATGTAGTCTTCTGCCTGTGAATACCGACTTTCTCCTCACCATTTATTAAAGGGGCCATCTTTTCTCCACGGTGTGCTTTGGGTCCCTCTGTCAAACACAAAATGCCTGAAGGTTCCTGCTTCCTGTAACCCTTCCTCCAGCCCAGCGATGGCGTTATTTCTGCTTGTTATATTTCAGTGATGGCAAAGCTATTAGAGAAAAGAGCTCAAACTGCAACCCAGAACCCACTTACTTATCACAAAATGGCAGCAGCAGTCAAACCTGATGCTAAAGTTTTAGTGTAGAAAAATTCCTGCATTAAGATTGTCTTAAAAATAACATGCATGTCATGGTTTCACTACTACCTACTCCATTCCATTGATCCACATACCTATTTTTGTGCCAGTACCATGCCATTTTTATCACCACAGCTTTATAATAAATTTCAGATCTGGGATCGTGATGTGTCCAGCTCTGCTTTTATTACCTAATATTGCTTTTGCTATTCTGGGGCTCTTCTGGCTCCATGTATATTTTAGGATTGTTTTCTGTGGATCTGTGATGAATGCTATTGGTATTTTGATTGGAATTGTATTGAATCTGTACATCAGTGGGAGAATAATCATTTTGATTGTATTGGTTCTGCCTATCCAAAAAAGTGGAAGTTTTCCATTTTTTGTTCTCTTCAATCTCCTTTTTCAGTGATGTAATTTTTATTATAGAAGTCCTTTGCTTCCTTGGTTAGATTGGGTCCTGAGTATTTGATTTTTTTTATGCTATTGTAAATAGTAGTATTTTCCAGATCCCATGCATGGTGAGTTAATTGATATACAGGAAAACTATTGATTTTTGCGTGTTGATTTTGTATCCCACTACTCTACTGAATTTGCTAATTCTAGAAGTTTTTTAGTGGAAGTTTTTTCGCCTTTTAAGTAAAGAATCATGTCATCTGCAAATAATGATACATCTCTCACTTGTTCCTGCTTTTAGTGAGAAAGCTTCAGTTTTTCCCCATTTGATAGGATATTGGCTATAGGTCTGTCATAAATGACTCTTAACATATTGACATAATATCCTATACCTATTTTGTTCAGGATTTTTTAAAAGAGAATAAAAACAAGCAAAGCAAAACAGAACAAAGCCAATCAAAACAAACCAGTGTAAGTGACATAGGACTTCAAAACAACATGAAATCAACAGTGGTTACCATAGTGCCTCTTCAAAATAGCTGTAGATACCTCCAGACTTCGTAAAAGTCAAACAAAAGAGAACAGAATAGAACTAATAAAAACAAAACAGTAAATGCAATAAAGGGCTTCAAAACAAGACAATAGTGGATCTAAAACGGCTACCATAACGTATCTTGCTATCTTTGAAATAGCTGCTCATGCTGTTGGATTAAATAAAATAAAATGAGACAAAACAGAATAAAACCCAACCCAACAAAACAACTGAAAATGATACAGGACTTCAAAGCAAGATAATAGGGAATTAACAATGGCCACCACCCTCAAAAGGAGATCCCTGTAGATGTTAAACTGAGCATTGCCATCCTCTGAATAGATATCAGACCACCAGCTTTAAACCTGCAAAGTCAGTGAACACTAAACACCACAAGCATTGAATTGTATTTCACTTCAGTAGCCTTCATCGCAGCCTGTGTTCCTCTGGATCAGCTGGTTGCTTATGGCAGTTCTCTTTTTTAAAGTTAGATTCTTATCTAGTTTTGTAATCAGGGTGAGGCTAGCTTACAGGAATGACTTTCGGAGTGTTGTTTCCTTTCAGTTTTATTAAACAGTTTGAGGAGCATTGGCGTTAGATCTTCCTTGAAGTTCTTTTATGACTCAACCATGAATCTATCACATCCTGTACCTTTCTTCGTTGTTAAGGTTTCTTTGTATTTGTTTTGTTTTGGAGTGATTGGTGGGTTGT